TATCAACTCAAAAACAACCAAACTACTTCTGCACATCATTTGGGGGCTTTACCTGCAACACAGTTGCCTGTGCAAGATGCAACCCTCAAGGGCTAGTTTTGTGGCATAGCAGGTAAAGCTAATGCCTGCAATGTTGACAGCTCTATTTTTTAAAAAAAATTTATTTGAAAGTCAGAATTACACAGAGAGAGGAGAGGCAGAGAGAGGTCTTTCACCAGAAAGAGAGAGAGAGAGAGTCTTCCATCCGCTGGTTTACTCCTCGGATGGCTGCAATGGCTGGAGCTGCACCGATCTGAAGCCAGGAGCCAGGAGCTTTTTCCGGGTCTCCCATGTGGGTGCAGGGGCCCAAGGACTTGTGCCATCTTCTACTGTTATCCCAGGCCATAGCAGAGAGCTGGATGGGAAGAGGAGCAGTTGGGACTAGAACCGGCGCCCATATGGGATGCCAGCGCTTCAGGCCAGGGCATTAACCCACTGAGCCACAGCGCCGGCCCTGATATATTAATCTTAAAAAAAGAGATTGAGTAGATTTGGGAAGAAATACAAGACTTAAATTGCTTCCACTTTTGTATTTGTTTAGGGGTTTAATATTTTCTGTGTGTATCTATCCTTTAGGGAAAATTGCACTGTGTGGTATATCATCAATCCAGGAAGATGGAAATACCTTATGGTCCTTAATGGTATTGCTTTTAGTCTTGACCTAGACTAGAGAAATGAAGAAAAAAAGAACAAATTAAGTTTCTATGCTTGCTCTTTGCAAATTACTGAGGATATAGCAAAAGAAAGAGAATTGCTAAAATATTAGATCTCTCCATAAAATTACATTTATAGATTTACAAACTGAGGAAAGAAGTATCTTGTAATACTTTCCACTTATATAGTATTTCTAGAGAGGTAATAGAATGTTTTGGAAATGGAAAAAGATGAAAAAATTCTGAGAAGACAAGAAATATAAAGAGGTGGTTGCAATATTGTTATGTGAGAACTAAGCAGCCATGATATGAACATTCTGTGGTAAGAGAATTTGGTATGGTCATTCACAAGCCAAAAATGTTCTCTGGTTTCTTCTTACACATTATCTGGAAATTCTTTTAATTGTATGTTTTAATTTTTACTAGGAAGATTCCTATTGCAGTTGATCAGAATTTAACCTGTAGTAACCTAGTTTTAAAAACCTCATTGTACATTACAAAATTAAGAAACTATATATGAATATATATTTTTGATTAAAGATTGAAATATAGTCAGAAAAATTAAGGAAAATTTTGTTTTTTCTTAAACACTTCAGTGCTCTTGAATGAGGGCTGGATGAAGCAGCAATGAGAAACTGATGGCAATAGATAACAATACAGGTCAAATCAAAAGGCTCTGATGTGACATCTCTAGTTAGTTGGAATGTTCTAAGACTCAAGAGACAAAAGTTGTCCTTCATGTTCAAGAATATCCTCTTTCCTAAATGTTACCAAGGCAGTCTAGAGGCCAGTTTTGCAGCTCAACCTTTAAGAGTATTTGCAGTGTGTGGGAAAGTAGAGCATTACCTAGTGAGTTTTATTGATTTTTCTTAGCCTGAGGTAGAGCCCAGTGATGGACCCAACTCTTTCCCCATCCCAGTATCTATACTCTTTGCCTCACTTCATATCCTTTCACTAAAAAGACAATCAGTTTCCCTGATCTGGGCTTGCCTTGTGACTTGCTCTGTCAGATAGAATATAGCAGAGATGAGAATGTGCCATTTGCCTGCCTAGGCCCAGGAAGGCATTGTGTGCTTCAATTTTTCTGTGAGAACACTGCCTTGAGACCATTATTGGCCTAGCTTGTTGGATGATGAGAGAGACAGTTTCACTATCCCTAGTCCCGTGAGAAAGCCCTGGCGATATCAGCAGAGCCACTCAGACAACAACCCATGAATGTGGGTAATAAATGTTTAATGCTGTGTGTCACTGATGTTTTGTGTTTGTTACGTAGAACTTTTAGGGCAGAAGAAAACTGATATAGGGGACTAGTTCTAGATTGACTAAAGCTGTGGATTTCTGATAAATGCTTCATAGAACTCTTGATGCCTCATTAAAGTAAATAAGAAGTCCTTGAATGACAGGCTGGCTTTTCCCATGCACCTCCCAGGAGACATTTATCTACTGTGTTGATTTGATTTAGGGGTAAAGGTTTTAACCCTCTGCCTAGTAGAATTATGCAAATGTGCCTATGTCTCTCTCAACCTGGCAGACAGATAAGCATCAAGAAGTTACCAACTTCATACTTCATAGAACCTTCTCGAGTCAGCATTCTCAAAATTCCAGCAAAGAGCTTATTCCCCTTGGAGGTCAGAAGTGGCTTAATAATCATCAGGTAGAATGAACAAAATTTCCTATAGAAATATAATTCATTCCATTCTCTTCTGGTTTTGCTTTCTCTTCTTCCCTTTACTAGAGAAAACAATGGCATATGGTGGAGGCACCAGGGGTTTCTGAGTCTCAGAGGCACAGACTTTTACCAGCAAAGAGAATGGCAATTTAATTGAAAATAGAGCCTGCTTAGGATTCATTCAGAAGAATTTTCCTCTCCATGATCATGTTTGCATAGTGATTTGATCTTACCTGGATCTTTAGAGCCCACTGTGAGATAACTTTACTTCAGTTGCACTGGATCCTTTTCAAATATTTTTCAAGTACAAACATCCTCCCCACAGGTTTCCTCATCCGCAATGATTGTCTCATCTGAGGCTTGTATTCTGATTAATTCAACTCTAGCTACCTTACTGCTTCAGTGGATTCCAAATATGTCATGGTTAAAAAAATCCCCTGGGAAGTTTCATAAAGGAAGTTGGTGAGAACAGGGCTAAGGTTTATTTTGCTGAGCAACTTTTAGCATGTGGCGGGATGGGGACTCAAAGAGCAGCAATGGAAGGAATGCCAAATTCTTCCTGATGCCTGCTCATAGGTCAAGCATCATGCAGGAACTATGTAGAAATTTCTGTGATCATTGCTGTGCATGGAGGTTTCCTCTGCACCCTCTATCCGGTTGAGCAGTCAGCCCAAAGAGTGCAGTAAGTGGATGCAGCCAGCAGAGGGTGGGAGCACCACAGCCACAAGCCAAAAGCCACAAGCTCTTTACAGTAGTTTCTTGGCACAGTTACTCACTGGTTCTCCAAGAGACTGGTTCGGATGAGTTGAGTCCTCTTTTTTTAAGCTTTTTGTTTTCACCAGGTCCTTTCTGCTGACTGAATGGGCTGCAGAGTCAGTCTGCTTGCATTTTAACATCTTTTATTAATATAAAGAGAACAGATTTCATGTATTTTACACACAGTTCTGAGAAGATAACCATACTTCATTCTTTCCTTTCTCACTCCCCCTCTTTTCTTCTTCTTTTTTTAATTTTTGCAATAGCGTACTTTCAATTTACTTTATAATTACAGAATTAATGCACCACTAATCTTTTTTTCTTTTTTTTTATTTAGTAAATATAAATTTCCAAAGTACAGTTTATGGATTACAATGGCTTCCTCCCCCCCATAGTTTCCCTCCCCCTCGCACTCCTCCCATCTCCCACTCCCTCTCCCATTCCATTCACATCAAGATTCATTTTCAATTATCTTTATATACAGAAGATCGATTCAGTATATATTAAGTAAAGATTTCATCAGTTTGCACCCACACAGAAACACAAAGTGTAAAATATTGTTTCAGTACTAGTTATAGAATTACTTCACATTGGACAACACATTAAGGACAGATCCCACGTCAGAAGTAAGTACACAGTGACTCCTGTTGTTGACTTAACAATTTGACACTCTTGTTTATGGCATCAGTAATCTCCCTAGGCTCTAGTCATGAGTTGCCAAGGTTATGGAAGCCTTTTGAGTTCACCGACTTTGAATCTTATTCTGACAGGGTCATAGTCAAAGTGGAAGTTCTCTCCTCCCTTCAGAGAAAGGTACCTCCTTCTTTGATGGCCCCGTTCTTTCCACTGGGATCTCACTCGCAGAGATCTTTCATTTAGGTCTTCTTCTTCTTCTTTTTTTTTTTTTCCCAAAGTGTCTTGACTTTCCATGCCTAAAATACTCTCATGGGCTCTTCAGCCATATCTGAATGCCTTAAGGGCTGATTCTGAGGACAGAGATGCACCACTAATCTCAATGTTCAACAAGACAAAAGTAGAAAGACAGTTGTTCCACAGGAGTATAGGTAAGGGCTATATACAATGAAATCATAAGGTTTCAGTTCATTCTTATACTTTTTTTTTGTAGTCTATATTCACTACCACGTATCAGAGAAAACATGATATCTGTCTCTTTGGGACTGGCTTATTTCACCAAGCATAATGGTCTGCAGTTGCATCCATTTTTTGGGAAAAGTTGGAATTTCATTTTTTATGGCTAAGTAGTATTCCATTGTGTATATATAGCAAATTTTCTTTATCCAGTCATCAGTTGATAGACATCTGGGTTGATTCCATACCTTAGCTATTGTGAATTGAACTACAGTAAATGTGGGGGTACAGATAACTCTTTCATATGCTAATTGCCTTTTGTTTTGGGTAACTTCCCAGTACTAGATTTCTAGGTCATATGGTAGATCTATTTTCAGATATCTAAGGAATCACCATACTGTCTTCCATATGGTTATACACAATACATTCCCACCAACAGTGTATTAGGGTACTTTTTGTCCATATCTTTGCCAGGATTTTATTTTTTGATTTTTGGATGATAGCAATTCTTACTGGGGTGAGGTGGTAACTAATTGCATTCCACTTGAATTTGAATCCTGGCTGTCCCACATGCCAGCCACATCTTCTTTGTGCCTCAGTCTGTCTTAACTAAAAAAATGGGAAAAGAACAGGTGAGGATGTTGTGAGGATAGTGGAATTAACTTGCATAATGCATTTAGAACAGTGTCTGAATTTTTTTTAACTTTTATTTAATAAATATAAATTTCCAAAGTACAGCTTTTGGATTAAAGTGGCTCCCTCCAAGCCCATAACATCTCCCTCCCACCCGCAACCCTCCCATCTCCTGCTCCCTCTTCCATCTCATTCACAGTGTCTGAAATTTAAGAGTTACTTGATAAATATCTCCCATGTAGGTGGCAGGGACCCAACTACTTGAGCCATCACCTGTAACCCCCCATCCCAGGGTCACATCAGTAGAAAGCTGGGATCCTAAGCAGTGCTGAGACTCAAAATTCAGGCACTCTGTTGTGTGATATAGTCACCTAAGTGGCAGCTTAACTCCTACACCAAATGCCCTTCTCTGAGCTTGGAATTTCTTTTGCTATAAAGTACACATTGGGATAGTTTCTGAACTTTGATAAAGGTCTGTAGATGAAATAATAGTACTATATCAATATTAATTTCCTGATTTTGTTACTTGCAGGTTATAGAAGAAAGTGTCCTTGCTTTTAGGATACATACTGGAGGTTTTTGTTTGTTTGTGTTTTGCAGTTTTATTTCAGAGGCAGAAAGAGACAGAGGTCCTGTTCTCTGATTCATTTCCCAAATGCCCACAGCAGCCAGTTCTTGGCAGGGACAAAGCAAGGGACTGGGAACACAATACAAGTATCCCATCTGGTTGACAGGAACCCACTTCCTTGATACATAACCTGCTTCCTCACAGGTAGCCACCGGTGAGTAGTTGGAATTGGAATTAGAGCCAGGGATTCAACCCAGGTACTGTGATGTGGGACACAGGTTTCTTAACTGCTAGGCTTACCACTAACTCTCCATGCTGGATTATTTAAGAATCAATGCAGAACCATCATCTGTGTGTGTGTCTGTGTGTGATGGAGGTAGCATATCAGATAAAACAGCCTTTAGTACATCTGGTTAAAGGGTATATGAGAATTCTTTGTATTGTTCTTGCAGTATTTTTTTGTAAACATGTAATTAAAATAAAATGCAAAGTTGAAAAAGAAAAGCCTAGGTATAACATAAGATCCCTCCCCTTAGATATCTCCTTTTCTAACAAGTTTTACCTGCTGTTCTTCTGCACATCCCCCTGCCTTTTCAAGTGGATTTGGAGCCCTTGCCCTGTGCACTCCTAGCCTGCAGCCTCTTTGTCACAGCCCCTGCCCCTTAAACTGAGTTGTGGCCTGCTGTTTATTTCATGAAACTATGAGTCCAGGCAAAGAAAGCATGGATGCTAACTCATTGTTCATATTTTTATCACGTGAACCCATCTAATGCCTAGCACAGAGAATAAACACAGTAGGATTTTAGAGAGAATAAGGAAGTGGAACTTGGCTTCATATTTAAGGTCTGTTCTTCCTGGGATTGTAAATTTTGGGCTTGGTTTTTAGTTTATGTAGCAAGGATGTAGCACAGGTTTGGGAATCAGCACACCACGAGTGAAAGCTGAGTGCTGTCACAGCATGCACGAGGGACAGACTCTTCTATTTATTTATACCTTAGTGCTCTGCTTTTCTACTTAGAGACACTGTGAGTTCAGGATTTGAGCTCCATAAACAAAGGCAAACGGACAGTGGACTCCTGTACAGATGTTTAACCTAAGGAAATTCCTTTGTATGTGCTCGGTGCTGAAAATAATATTTTTCTTACACCATAGCCTCTGAATACAGATCATGATGGCATGTGGTGTGCAACTGAAGGGGCTGGACCAGGCCGCAGCAAGGAACCAGGAGCTTCTTCCAGGTCTCCCACATGGGTGCAGGGGCCCAAGCACTTGGGCCATCATCTTCTGCTTTCCAGGCATATTAGAAGGGAGCTAGATTGGAAGTGGAGCAACCAGGGCTTGAACCGGCACCCATATGGGTTGCTGGTGTTGTAGGCAGTGACCTTATCTGTTACATCAGAACAGCAGCCATACTTGTTCATTTTTTTCTTTTGACAGGCAGAGTTAGACAGTAAGAGAGAGAGAGACAGAGAGAAAGGTCTTCCTTTTCTGTTGGTTCACCCCCCCCCCCCCAAATGGCCGCTACGGCCGGCGTGCTGCGCTGATCCAAAGCCAGGAGCCAGGTGCTTTCTCCTGGTCTCCCATGTGGGTGCAGGGCCCAAGCACTTGGGCCATCCTCCACTGCCTTCCTGGGCCACAGCAGAGAGCTGGACTGGAAGAGGAGCAACCGGGACAGAATCTGGCACCCCAACCGGGACTAGAACCTGGGGTGCCAGTGCTGCAGGCGGAGGATCAGCCAAGTGCGCTGCAGCGCCAATCTACTTGTTCATTTTTTAATGGGTGAAGTTAATGATTTTTCATGGGCAGATTGGTCCAATCAAGCAAGTTGATGTTATAATATAGAAACATAAACATCCAACTAATGTTCCTGTTTGTGATTTTTATATTAACTTTCTTAAAGGGTATGCTTTCTGATCACTATTGTACCACTATTTTTTTTTAAGATTTATTTACTTATCTGAAAGTCAGAGTTACACAGAGAGAGGACAGGCAGAGAGAAAGAAGAGAGGTCTTCCATCTGCTGGTTCACTCCCCAGTTGGCTGCAATGGCCAGAGATGTGCCGATCAGAAGCCAGGAAACTGGAGCTTCCTCCGGGTCTCCCACATGGGTGCAGGGGCCCAAGGACTTGAGCCATCCTCTACTGTTTTCCCAGGCCATAGCAGAGAGCTGGATCAGAAGTGGAGCAGCCGGGACTTGAACCGGTGCCCATATGGGATACCGGAGCTTCAGGCCAGGGCATTAACCTGCTGCGCCACAGCGTTGGCCCCACCACTATTTTTAATCTAATGTTAACTGACAAGCTAGAAACTTTGCTATTTGAAAAAGATAACAATGCTATAGAAAATCAATATAACTTTTATCTTTACTAGAAGTTGTAAAAGCCTATCTAGACAAATTTCAAATGTGTGCACATGGCTGTAGAGAAGAAATTCCACTACAGATTTTAACACCTGGAAAACCAAAGCAGATATCTTGTTAAATCTTCTTAATCTATTACCTGGTGACCTTGGGTTTTGGCATGCATCGAATTTAGTTCAGAAGTGAATCTCTGTGAGGAATAAAAATTGAAAGTAAGAGCTCTGGCTAACACAAACACAAAAGGAAAAACATGTCAACTCCTTAAATCTCAAAAATAGGTCTTGGATTCCACCAAGAATCCAATTGGAATAACAGGTTCTTCTTTTTTTTTTTTTTAACTTTTATTTAATGAATATACGTTTCCAAAGTACGAATAGTGGATTACTATGGCTTCCCCCCCATACCGTCCCTCCCACCCACAACCCTCCCCTTTCCCACTCCCTCTCCCCTTCCATTCACATCAAGATTCATTTTCGATTATCTTAATATACAGAAGATCAGCTTAGTATACATTAAGTAAGGATTTCAACAGTTTGCTCCCACACAGAAACATAAAGTGAAAAATAATGGATGATTTTTTTTAATGATGATGAAATCAGATCAGACCTATTGTCATGTTTAATCCCAGTGAGAGTCAAGTTGGGAGTTGATAGTTTCTTTTCTTTTCTTTTCTTTTTTTTTTTTTTTTTACAGAGGATCAGTTTAGTATACATTAAGTAAAGATTTCAACAGTTTGCACCCCCATAGAAACACAAAGTGAAATATATTATTTGAGTACTCATTATAGCATTAAATCTCAATGCACAGCACATTAAGGACAGAGATCCTACATGAGGAGTAAGTGCACAGTGACTCCTGTTGTTGACTTTACCAATTGACACTCCTGTCTATGGCATCAGTAATCTCCCTATGCTCCAGTCATGAGTTTCCAAGGCTATGGAAGCCCCTTGAGTTCTCCGACTCTTATCTTGTTTAGACAAGGTCATAGTCAAAGTGGAGGTTCTCTCCTCCCTTCAGAGAAAGGTACCTCCTTCTTTGAAGACCTGTTCTTTCCACTGGGATCTCACTCACAGAGATCTTTTGCCAGAGTGTCTTGGCTTTCCATGCCTGAAATACTCTCATGGGCTTTTCAGCCAGATCTGAATGCCTTTAGGGCTGATTCTGAGGCCAGAGTGCTATTTAGGGCATCTGCCATTCTATGAGTCTGCTGAGTATCTCACTTCCCATGTTGGATCACTCTCCCCTTTATTTATTCTATCGGTTAGTGTTAGCAGGTACTAGACTTGCTTATGTGCTCCCTTTGACTCTTAGTCCTTTCATTATGATCAATTGTGAACTGAAATTGATCACTTGGACTAGTGAGATGGCATTGGTACATGCCACCTTGATGGGATTAAATTGGAGTCCCCTGGTATGTTTCTAACTCTACCATTTGGGGCAAGTCAGCTTGAGCATGTCCCAAATTATACATCTCTTCCCTCTCTTATTCCTACTCTTATGTTTAACAGGGATCACATTTCAGTTAAATTTCAACACTTAAGAATAACTGTGTATTAATTACAGAATTAAACCAGTCATATTAAGTAGAACAGACAAAACAACTACTAAGAGGGATAATGTATTAAGTTGTTCATTAACAGTCAGGGCTATGCTGATCAAGTCACCATTTCCCATAGTGTCCCTTTCACTTCAACAGGTTTCCTTTTTGGTGTTCAGTCAGTTGTCACCGATCAGGGAGAACATATGGTATTTGTCCCTTTGGGACTGGCTTACTTCACTCAGCATGATGTGTTCCAGATTCCTCCATTTTGTTGCAAATGACTGGATTTCATTGTTTCTTACTGCGGTATAGTATTCTAAAGAGTACATATCCCATAATTTCTTTATCCAGTCTACCGTTGATGGGCATTTAGGTTGGTTCCAGGTCTTGGCTATTGTGAATTGTGCTGCGATAAACATAAGGCTGCAGACCGCTTTTTTGTTTGCCAATTTAAACTCCTTTGGGTAAATTCCAAGGAGTGGGATGGCTGGGTCGAATGGTAGGGTTATCTTCAGGTTTCTGAGGAATCTCCAGACTGACTTCCATAGTGGCTTGACCAGTTTGCATTCCCACCAACAGTGGGTTAGTGTCCCTTTTTCCCCACATCCTCGCCAGCATCTGTTGTTGGTAGATTTCTGTATGTGAGCCATTCTAACCGGGGTGAGGTGAAACCTCATTGTGGTTTTGATTTGCATTTCCCTGATTGCTAGTGATCTTGAACATTTTTTCATGTGCCTATTGGCCATTTGGATTTCCTCTTTTGAAAAATGTCTATTGAGGTCCTTGGCCCATCTCTTAATTGGGTTGTTGGTTTTGTTTTTGTGGAGTTTCTTGATCTCTTTGTAGATTCTGGTTATTTTTTTTTTTAAACTTTTATTTAATGAATATAAATTTCCAAAGTACGACTTATGGATTACAATGGCTTCCCCCCCATACCGTCCCTCCCACCCACTACCCTCCCCTTTCCCACTCCCTCTCCCCTTCCATTCACATCAAGATTCATTTTCGATTATCTTAATATACAGAAGATCAGCTTAGTATACATTAAGTATGGATTTCAACAGTTTGCTCCCACACAGAAACATAAAGTGAAAAATAATAGATGATTTTTTTAAATGATGATGAAATCAGAGCAGTCATGTTTAATCCCAGTGAGAGTCAAGTTGGGAATTGATAATTTCTTTTTTCTTTTTTTTTTTTTTTTACAGAGGATCAGTTTAGTATGCATTAAGTAAGGATTTCAACAGTTTGCACCCCCATAGAAACACAAAGTGAAATATATTGTTTGAGTACTCGTTATAGCATTAAATCTCAATACACAGCACATTAAGGACAGAGATCCTACATGAGGAGTAAGTGCACAGTGACTCCTGTTGTTGACTTTACCAATTGACACTCCTGTCTATGGCATCAGTAATCTCCCTATGCTCCAGTCATGAGTTTCCAAGGCTATGGAAGCCCTCTGAGTTCTCCGATTCTTATCTTGTTTAGACAAGGTCATAGTCAAAGTGGAGGTTCTCTCCTCCCTTCAGAGAAAGGTACCTCCTTCTTTGATGACCTGTTCTTTCCACTGGCATCTCACTCGCAGAGATCTTTTGCCAGAGTGTCTTGGCTTTCCATGCCTGAAATACTCTCATGAGCTTTTCAGCCAGCTCCGAATGCCTTTAGGGCTGATTCTGAGGCCAGAGTGCTATTTAGGACATCTGCCATTCTATGAGTCTGCTGAGTATCTCACTTCCCATGTTGGATCACTCTCCCCTTTATTTACTCCATCAGTTAGCGTTAGCAGGTACTAGACTTGTCTATGTGCTCCCTTTGACTCCCAGTCCCTTCACCATGACCAACTGTGAACTGAAACTGATCACCTGGAACAGTGAGATGGCATTGGTACATGCCACCTCGATGGGATTGAATTGGAATCCCCTGGTATGCTTCCAACTCCACCACTTGGGGCAAGTCAGCCTGAGCATGTCCCAAATTATACATCTCTTCCCTCTCCCATTCCCACCACCATGTTCAACAGGGATCACATTTCAGTTAATTTTCAACACTTAAGAATAACTGTGCATCAATTACAGATCCAAACCAGTCATATTAAGTAGAACAGATAAAAAAACTACTAAGAGGGATAATGTATTAAGTTGTTCATTAACAGTCAGGGCTATGCTGATCAAGCCACCATTTCCCATAGTGTCCACCTCACTCCAACAGGTTTCCCTCTTGGTGTTCAGTCAGTCGTCACCGATCAGGGAGAACATATGGTATTTGTCCCTTTGGGACTGGCTTATTTCACTCAGCATGATGTGTTCCAGATTCCTCCATTTTGTTGCAAATGACTGGATTTCGTTGTTTCTTACTGCGGTATAGTATTCTAAAGAGTACATATCCCATAATTTCTTTATCCAGTCTATCGTTGATGGGCATTTAGGTTGGTTCCAGGTCTTAGCTATTGTGATTGAGCTGCAATAAGACATTAGCTGCAGACTCTTTTTTGTTTGCATTTAAATTGCGTTTGGGTAATTCCAGGAGTTGGGATGGCTGGGTTGAACGGTAGGGTTATATTCAGATTTCTGAGGAATCTCCAGACTGACTTCCATAGTGGCTTGACCAGTTTGCATTCCCACCAACAGTGGGTTAGTGTCCCTTTTTCCCCACATCCTCGCCAGCATCTGTTGTTGGTAGATTTCTGCATGTGAGCCATTCTAACCGGAGATTCTGGTTATTAACCCTTTATCTGTTGCATAGTTTGCAAATATTTTTTCCCATTCTGTCGGTTGTCTCTTCACTCTCCTGACTGTTTCTTTTGCAGTACAGAAACTTCTCAATTTGATGCAATCCTAATAGTTGATTTTGGCTTTGACTGCCTGTGCCTCCCGGGTCTTTTCCAGAAATTCTTTGCCTGTGCCAATATCTTGAAGGGTTTCTCCAATGTTCTCTAATAACTTGATGGTGTCAGGTCATAGATTTAGGTCTTTAATCCATGTTGAGTGGATTTTTGTGTAAGGTGTAAGAAAGGGATCTTGCTTCATGCTTCTGCACGTGGAAATCCAATTTTCCCAGCACCATTTATTGAATAGACTGTCCTTGCTCAAGGAATTAGTTTTAGATCCTTGATCAAATATAAGTTGGCTGTAGATGTTTGGGTTGATTTCTGGTATTTCAATTCTGTTCCATTGGTCTATCCTTCTGTTTCTGTACCAGTACCATGCTGTTTTGATTACAACTGCCCTGTAGTATGTCCTGAAATCTGGTATTGTGATGCCTCCGGCTTTGTTTTTGTTGTACAAGATTGCTTTAGCTATTCGAGGTCTCTTGTGCCTCCATATAAATTTCAGCACCAATTTTTCCAGATCTGAGAAGAAGGTCTTCGGTATCTTGATTGGTATTGCATTGAATCTATAAATTGCTTTTGGGAGAATGGACATTTTGATGATATTGATTCTTCCAATCCATGAGCATGGAAGATTTTTCCATTTCTTGGTATCCTCTTCTATTTCTTTCTTTAAGGTTTTGTAATTTTCATCGTAGAGATCTTTAACGTCCTTGGTTAAGTTTATTCCAAGGTATTTGATTGGGAATAACAGGTTCTTCTAAAGACTGCTATGAAAGTTAAGCCTCCTATCATTTATGCTATAGCATGAATTGGTTTAATAACAGGCATTTTTATCGCTTTTCTCCTAACACTTATCTCAGAAGATGAAACAGTGGTTTTGTTTAGAGGGAATTGGAGGAGGAGGAGTGAGCAATTTGAGATTAATGGATATTTTGGAAAAAGTGTTGACCAGGGAGAAGTGGATACATAGAAAAGTTGGAAACAGTCTTCACATTCTTGGAAATTGGGGAACAGATGTAGAGGAGCAGAAGTGATTAACGCTCATTGAAAGAACAGAGGGAATATCCAAAACAGCTATTTGCTGCACAACACTGACAACAGGAAACCTACTTGGCACATAGCTAAATAACACCTAGGTCACAGTTCTGAAATGGTCTGCTTTAAGAATTGTTTGGCTGTTTCTCTTGAAGAATGGCCTCTGTCCTAAGCATCGATATCTTAGAATATAGTATATCTATGATAGTGCTCAATAAATATTTATTTAAACATGTAATGCTTTGGAAACATTTTCCGTAACAGAACTTGATTTGCCAATAAAGTTTACAAAGAACTTGTCCAAACAGCACTCTGGCCTTAGAATCAGCCCTTAAGGCATTTGGATCTGGCTGAAGAGCCCATGAGAGTATTTTAGGCATGGAAAGCCAAGACACTCTGGCCAAAAAAAAAAACAAAAACAAAAACAAAAAAACCAAAACACCACCACCACCACCAACAAAAACCTAAGTAAAAGATCTCTGTGAGTGAGATCCCAGTGGAAAAAAACGGGCCATCAAAGAAGGAGGTACCTTTCTCTGAAGGGAGGAGAGAACTTCCACTTTGACTATGGCCTTGTCTAAATAAGATCGGAGTCGATGACCTCAAAAGGCTCCCATAGCCTTGGCAACTCATGATGAGAGCCTAGGGTGATTACTGATGCCATAAACAAGAGTGTCAATTTGTTAAGTCAACAACAGGAATCATTGTGCATTTACTCCTCGTGTAGGATCTCTGTCCTTAATGTGTTGTATAATGTGAATTAATGCTATAACAAGTACTCAAACAGTATTTTTCACTTTGTGTTTCGGTATGGGTGCAAACTGTTGAAATCTTTACTTAGTATATACTACATTCATTTTCTGTATATAAAGATAATTGAAAATGAATCTTGGCCGGCGCCACGGCTTACTAGGCTAATCCTCCTCCTGCGGCGCCGGCACACCGGGTTCTAGTCCCTGTCGGGGCGCCGGATTCTGTCCCGGTTGCTCCTCTTCCAGGTCAGCTCTCTGCTGTGGCCAGGGAGTGCACTGGAGGATGGCCCAAGTGCTTGGGTCCTGCACCCCATGGGAGACCAGGAGAAGCACCTGGTTGCTGCCATCCGATCAGTGCGGTGTGCCGGCCGCAGCGCACCGGCCGCGGCAGCCATTGGAGGGTGAACCAACGACAAAGGAAGACCTTTCCCTCTGTCTCTCTCTCTCACTGTCCACTCTGCCTGTAAAAAAATAAAATAAAATATTGAGAAAAAATAAAAAAAAAAGAAAATGAACCTTGATGTGAATGGAATGGGAGAGGGAGTGGGAGATGGGAGGATTGTAGGTGGGAGGAAAGCTATGGGGAGGGGATGCCATTGTAATCCATAAACTGTACTTTGGAAATTTATATTTTTTAAATAAAATTTAAAAAAAAACTTGTCCAACTTAACTTTTGTTGAACCAAATTTCAGGGCTGCCAATTGAATAATTCTGGTGTAATAATGATCAATATTAAATGGCTCATTGTTCTAAATGGCATTCAGTCTCATTTGGCAATGAATAATTTTAGGATAGACAACTGCCGATTTTTTCAAACCCTCAAATCCCATAAGACAGGGCTAGCAGGCCAAAAAGCTTTCATTCCTGTCAAAGTAAGTCCTGACTTTGGTTTATCACAATGGCTAAGTGTCAATGTCACATTCATATTCACTCAGATGATGAATGTATTTGATACAGTTGACCTTGATTCTAGAACTAGGAGCCCAGGGTTGAAAAACAAAAGTCAGAGCTCAAATTTGGGAAGAAAGAAATTATTGGGAGATCATGAACACAAACAGGGAGATGCCATTCTGAGGGCATGGCGGGGAGAGGAAAAGGAGAATCCCCATTGGGAATTAATAACAGGGCCAGCGGCATACACTTATTTTAAATTAGATTGCCTAATTATTTGTCATTTGCTCCCAGACCTTCACCAAGAAACTCTCAGGATAACTTCTTAGAAGAAATGAACTCTTACAGGGCAGGGGGATAAAAGGTTTAAATCTGGCTGATGAATTCATATATGGATCAGTTCAATGTGCCTTCACTGCCATGGCCTTTCTTCAGGTCTGCGTTTTCTCTTTTTTCCCCCACTTTTATTTTATTTTAATTAAATATTAAATTAAATTAAAAATTAAATATGGTTTGTAGATAAAAATCTGGGAACCTAATTATATCCCCTTCTTCCCTCCCTCTCTCCATCCATCCCTCTTATTCTCTTTCTACCTTTCTTCCTAGATTTTGAGAAAACATATTTTAAAATAACGTTGCAGTAAAAGGCTTAATACTATACCAAATAATAAATTTAACAAATAAAAAGCAAAAAGACCCTAGTTAGAATATAGACAATGACTATAAACAATAAAAAAAATCATTTTACCCATATACAATTTTGTCAGTCATTCATAATTTCTTTCAATAAAATAGAACCAACAACAATGTAACATCTAAATATTTCCTTTGTTGTTACAAGATAATAATTAACTTCATTAAATTTTAAGCCATTTCCTCTCAAAATCTTATGCTAGGAATAATTTTATGCAGATTGCAATACAAATAATTATATATTACTTTTTTGTACTCTATTAATTACCACATATCAGAGAAAGCATATGGTATATGCTTTTAGGGACTGGCTTATTTCACTAAATATAATGGTTTTCAGTTGCATCCATTTGGTTGCAAAAGACAGGAATTAATTGTTTTTATGGATAAGTAATATTCCATAGTGTATATATACCACCTTTAATTTATCCAGTGATCAATTGATGGGCATCTGGGTTGATTCTGTATTAGCTATTATGAATTGAGATACACTGAATATGGGGGTACAGATAACTCATACGCTGATTTCATTTCTTTTGGGTAAATTCTCAGGAGTGGGATGACTGGGTCATATGGTAAATCTATTTTCAGCTTTCTGAGAAATCTCCATACTCTCTTCTGCCATGCCTGTACTAGTCTGTATTCTAACAAACAGTGGATTAGGAAACATTTTCCCCCACATCTTCATCGGCATTTATTGTTTATTGATTTCCATAAGAGAGCCATTCTAACTGGGGTGAAGTGAAACCTCATCGTAGTTTTTATTTGCATTTTCAAGATGGCTCATAATCCTGAGCATTTTTCCATGTATCTGTTAGCTATTTGAATTTCCTCTTTGCCTGTTCAAGTCCTTTGCCCATTTCTTAAGTGGATTTTTTTGTTGTTGAATTTCTTGAGCTCTTTATAGATTCTGGATATTAATTCCTTATCAATTGCATAGCTTGAAAATATTTTTTCCCATTCTGTTAGTTGCCTCTTTATTGAGTGTTTCTATTGGAGAATTTATGCCATTTACATTCAAGGATTTTATTGATAAGTATTGTCTTTGCCCTTTCATGTTCCTGTAAATATTCCTATTGTTGTGCTTTAGATTTCCTTTATACTTTTACTAGGAGATTTTCTGCCTTCACATTCTTTCATAATGATGACTGTCATGGGTAGCAAATCCTTAAGCATCATTTGTAAGGTTGGACAAGTGGTGACAAATTCTTTCGTTTCTTTTTGCTGTGGAAGGTCTTTATTTCACCTTCATTCATAAATGAGAGCTTTGCAGGGTATAGTGTTCAAGGTTAACAGTTTTTTTCTTTTTTTGATAGGCAGAGTTAGATAGTGAGAGAGAGAGACATAGAGAAAGGTCTTCCTTTTCTGTTGGTTCACCTCCCCAGATGGCCGCTACGGCCAGTGCACTGCGCTGATCTGAAGCCAGGAGCCAGGTGCTTCCTCCTGGTCTCCCATGCAGGTGCAGGGCCCAAGCACTTGGGCCATCCTCCACTGCCTTCCCGGGCCACAGCAGAGAGCTGGACTGGAAGAAGAGCAACCGGGACAGAATTTGGCACCACAACCGGGACTAGAACCTAGGGTACCGGTGCCGCAGGCGGAGGATTAGCCTAGTAAGCCGCAGCGCCGGCCAACCATTTGTGTGTGTGTGTGTGTGTGTGTTTAAGACTTGGACTATGTCTTGCCATTCTCTCCTCATCTGTAGGATTTCTTTCTTTTTTTCTTTCTTTCTTTCTTTCTTTTTTTTTTTTTTTTTTTTTTTTTTTTTGACAGGCAGAGTGGACAGAGAGAGAGACAGAGGGAAAGTTCTTCCTTTGCCGTTGGTTCACCTTCCAATTGCCGCCGCGGCTGGTGCACTGCGGCTGGCGCACTGCGCTGATCCGATGGCAGGAGCCAGGTGCTTCTCCTGGTCTCCCATGGGGTGCAGGGCCCAAGCACTTGGGCCATCCTCCACTGCACTCCCTGGCCACAGCAGAGAGCTGGCCTGGAAGAGGGGCAACCAGGACAGAATCTGGTGCCCCGACCGGGACTAGAACCCGGTGTGCCGGTGCCGCAAGGCAGAGGATTAGCCTAGTGAGCTGCGGCGCCGGCCCATCTGTAGGATTTTTGATGAGAACTCAGCTGTGAGTTTAATTGAAGATCCTCTGAATATAATCTTGCATTTCTCTTGTGGATATTTTAGAATAATTTTTAATATATTTTAAAATTTATTTTTAGGAATAAATTTCATAAGTACAACTTTAGGAATATAGTTTTTCTTCCTACCATACCCATCCTCCCACATACACTCCCACCTGCCCACCTCCTCCTTCACCCCTTGCCAGTCCCATTCTCCATTAAGATTCATTTTCAATTAACTTTGTACACAGAAGACCAACTCTATACTAAGTAAATATTTTAATAATTTGCACACACACACAAAACTGATAACTAGTTTTACAGTTAACTCTCATAATAACAACTCATTGAGGAAAGAGGTCCTGCATGGGAAGTTAGTGCACAGTGACTCCTGTTGTTAACTTAACAATTAACACTCTTATGTATGATGTCAGTGACCACCAGAGGCGCTTGAAATGAGCTGCCTAGTCTACAGAGCCTTTTGAGTCCACAAACTCTGTCAGTAATTGGACAAGGCCATAAGCAAAGTGAAAGTTCTTTTCCCTTTAGAGACAAGTACATCCTTATTTGATGGCCACTTCTTTCTCCTGGGGTCTAGCTCACAGAGATCCTTCTATAGAACATTTTTTTTTTTTTTTGCCACAGTGTCTTGACTTTTTATGCCTGAAATACTCTCATGGGCTTTTCAGCCAGACCAGGAAGCCTTAAGGGCTGATTCTGTCAGAGTGTTATTAAAGCAATTGCTATTCTATGAGTCTTGTGTGGACTGCTTCCCATGTTGGAACATTCTCTCCTTTTTAATTCTATCTATTGTTATTACCAGGAAATTGAACTTATTTATATGATCTCATAACACTTAATTGTATGTATATGTTCACTTTAACACTTAATATGATCACTTTAACACTTAAGATGGAATTTTTAACACCAAGCTTAATGAGATTTTGAATCTCATGACAAGTTTTTAAATTGTACCCTTAGAAGTAAGTCTGT